CCTAGACAGGGGGAGGGGTGATAATCCAGGAATTCTGGCCTGCTGCAGTAGCGGGCAGACTGGAAGGGGTGGACTACAGCTGACCAAGTGAACTCCTCCCTCATCCCTCAGCCACAAGACACCTCAGTGTAGGGACTTGGGGAGCCTGTGGACATTTGTCAGCACTCTCAGGAGACTCTTCTTTCTTCTCTTTGAGTTTTGTCTTTAATAACTAGAGAGTGGGCTATTAAGGAATACAAGCCAAAACGTTCTAGGAAAGTGAAACTACTTCTCTGAAGCAAAGGCACATGGGCTTGAAGTGCAGCCAGCAGTCCCAGGGTGAGGGAGGGAGGAGAGGAGAAGGCTTCTAACGTATCTTCACCCTTAGTCCCCTCTGAGGGCCCCCATCTGCTCCTGCTTGGGGTGCTTTGGTCAATTAGACACTAGGGTCAGCTCAAAAGGATAAGCTGTAGCTCACAGCAGGTGATGTGAATGGATTTGGGGCCAGTTAACCACAGGAGGTTGGAGTCTGGCTGGTGCTAAGGAGGGAGCACCACGCAACCTCAACTCCTTGGTGTCCCCAGGCAGGTGAGAAAGAATGAACAAAGAGATGAAAGAGAGCCCTGAGGTGGGCCAGGAGGCCTACCTTGGCTCTGAGGCCACAAACTGCCCCCTACTGGAGAAATATGCTTGATGCTTTACCACACGTCATCAAATGGCTGTGAGTTAGAACCACCTGGGGAGCTTTTAAAAAAATACCGATACTCAGACCCCACTCCAGACCAATTAAACTGAAATATCTGATGTTGGAGCTCAGGTATCAGTCATTTTAAAAAGCTCCCCAGGTGAGTCTAATGGGCAGTCATGCCTGGCAGACAGAGGCGTCAATAAATGTGAGTACTTCCTTTCCTCTTTTTGGCCTTGGAGATTCTGCACCTCCTTCCAGGGAAGGAAGCCTGACTTATGAAATGCCCTTCAGAAAGGACAAATACTTATTTCTGTCGTCGTCAGCCAGACCAGGGCCACACCACAGATTCAGCGGAAGTTTCTGCTCTGCTTGGTTCCCCTCCTTCAACTCATGCCCTGAATGATTTGGTCAGAGCATCCCTTCTCTTGTAAAACATCAGTCAATTAGATCTCAATGTCTTGGAAATGGGATGATTCAGTAGGGGTTGGACTGAAGTCTATGTTTGTCCCAGCACTGGGAACAGATGTACTAAACAAAGGAATAGGAGAACTGAACTGGTATAATATACCAGTTTGTTGCCCTTAAAAACCTCATCTATTTGCAATTACCTTAAGTCCATTTACATACAAAGTATCCTGCTAATTTTAAACAAGACTGATTCAAAAGGCCCTGGTTGCAGAATTTAAAATCAACAAAAAACAGTCGCCATAGAGTCAATTCTGACTCTTGGTGACCTCATACGTTAGAGCAGAACTGTGCCCTACAGGGTTTTCAGCGCCTGTGATCTTTCAGAAGCAGATTATCAGGCGTTTTTTCCCAAAGCACCTCTCGGTAGATTTGAGCTGCCAGCCTTTCGGTTGGTAGCCAAGTGCTTAACTGTTTGTGCCACTCAGGAATGATATTATGATACCAGTTATTTAAACACTGAATTACAGGTTGGCAAATAATTGCTGCCCTAAATCCTTCGTTTCCTCCACCCCTTCCTGCAGCCCCTCCCTCGGGGCCAACCACTCTCCCACCTCCCCATGGTTGAAAAACTAAAAGGTGATTTATTGCTTGGCACAGCAGGGGCCAAGGTCTGTTCTGACTGATGGATGCCCATGCTATGCAGGTGGTCAAATATGTCACATGTGATTATAACTCATTGCAATCTAGTCATGAATGTAGCTTGCCCCAAGGATCTTTGATTGTCATATTTAGTTACAGCAGTACAATTATTTTGTGGAGTCCCTGGGTAGCACAAATTGTTAAGTGTTCAGCTCCTAACAAAAAAGTTGGCAGTTCGAATCTACCCAGAGTTGCCTCAGAAGAAAGCCCTGGTGATCTACTTCCAAAAGATCACAGCCAATAAAAACCCTATGTAGCGCGGTTCTATTCCGACACACACGGGGTAGCCATCAGTCAGAATTGACTTGATGACAACTAGTGTATTCAAAAACATTTTTTTAATTTAACAAAAACCCATATTGTATTTAACAAGTACCAGGCACTATTTTAAGGGTTTTTTACAAACATTAACTCATTTGCACCTTATAACAACCCTATGATATTGGTAATATTATATTCCCCGTTTTATGATGTGGAAATTGAAGCATACAGAGGTGGAAATTGACGTATAGAGAGGTTAAGTAACTGACCAAGGTCACTCAGCCTTGGAGAGCTGGGCTTCTAGACCAATCTGTTGCAGAGTCTGTGGCTCTTAACCACAGAAAACTTAAATAGTCATTAAAGAGGTAGGGCTTTTTTTTTTTCCTTTTGCCAAACTTAGATTCACAAACTTAGACCCTAGCACTTTTCCTTGCTACCATTCTCTACTACCAAATTTACAGCTGGGCAAACAGTCCCAAGGTCATAAAATCAGTTGGGGGCAGAGCCAGGACCAGAACGTCACCTCTCAAGTCCCTCATGATCTCCTGTTGCACTGCTTTACAAAGTCAATTTAAGAAGTGTGCAGAAATCAGTTCAGGAAGTGCAGTAGTGGTTTTAAGAAAGTCCATAAATTCTTTAATATTCCTCCCTTCAAGAAGTGGAGCCTAGTTCCCTTCCCCTCAGGTGTGGGCTGGACTTAGTGTCTCTCTTCTAGTGACTAGAATAAGGCAGAAGTGATGGGAGAATAGGTCATAAAAGGCACTGCGACTTCCTCCTCCCTCTCTTTTTTGTATCATTCAGTTGGGGTTGGGGGGAGCCAGCCACCATGTTATGAGGACACTCAAGCAGCCCTGTGGAGAGGCCCATGGGTCAAGGAACTGAGGCCTTCTGCCAACAGCCATGTGAGAGAGTCATCTTGGAAGTGGATCCTCCAGCCCCTTGAGATAACTGGAGCCTGAGCCAATAGCTTGACTGCAACCTCATGAGAGACCCTAAGCCAGAACCAACCTGCTAAACTGCTCCTGGATTCCTGACTTTCAAAAAGGGTGTGAGATGGTAAATGTTGTTTAAAGATGCTAAGTTTTAGGGAAATTTGTTATGCAGCAATAGATAACTAATACAGGAGGCTCTGTGTTACTCTTACAATGCTGTAACTACACAAAATATTTTGAGGAGTTTTATACCACAAGGTAATCCAACTGTATTTCTTAAGAAAATTTTTTTGGCAATTCACATGGTCCTCCCCACCTCACCTTGCCCTGCCCTTCCTTAGTCCAGATTGAAGAGGTCTTCTGAGTTTTTTGTTTTTTTCCCCTGCATAGATGTCTATAAAGTCTACACCAAGTAAAACAGCTACATCTGAATTCTACTAAAGTTATTACTGCAATCACAAGAGTTCAAGCCTAATAAAATAATCTAGTAGCCAGAGATTTGGAGGTCTGGCAGTCTTTTGGCATTCTTCAAATGACAGCCTGGAGCTGGGCAGAAGCTTGGCAGTTCACGGATCAGACTGCCTGAGCCCAAATCCTGCTCTGCCACTTGCAACCTGTAAATTATCAAACATTCTGCGCCTCCGTTGCCTTAGCTTTAAATTACAGAGTCTACTTATAATACCTACTGTATAGAGTTATTTGGGAGATCAAAGCAATAACATTAGGGCATAGTGCACAATTGTGATCCATTGGCTGACTTTCAGAAGCAGATTTCCAGGCCTTTCTTCCTAGTCTGCCTTAGTCTGTAAGTGCTGCTGTAACCTGTTCAGCATCATAGCCATACATAAGCCTCCACGGACAGAGGTAGCTGTGCCTGAGGTACAGGGGCCAGAATCAAACCAGGGTCTCCTGCAGGGAAGGCAAGGATTCTACCACCGAACCATCACTAACCCTACAGCTTGCTCGAGGCATTCTAATCCGTGTTATTATCTGTTCCTCGCAACAGCGCTGAGAGGTAGCTACCAAACACAGACACAGACACACACACAGACACACACACACACACACACAAACCCATTGCTGTCAAGTCAATTCCAACTCAGAGCGACCCTGTAAAGATTACAGCCTTGGAAACCCTATGGGGCAGTTCTACCCTGTCCTATAGGGTCGCTATGAGTCACTATGAGTATGAGAGGTAGGCAGGGAAGGTTTTATTCATCCCCCATTTACAGATGAGGATGATAAGAGTCATAGAACTCAAGTGCGTTTCCCAAGACCACAGACATACTAACTGGTCGAGTCAGAATTCACAGCCTGGTTGGCCTGACTCCAAGGTGCGGTGCTTATTCACTATTCCCCAGCTTTCATTGTTTCTCCGTTCTGGGCTCGGCCTGGTGACATTATTGAATCTTAAAGATTCAAGGCCAATCTTGAGCTCCTGAAAGACTTCACCATACTAGTGCCTGTTGCCATCAAGCCAAGCCTGACTCACGGTGACCTCATGTGTTTCAGAGTAGAAGGGTGCTCCATAGGGTTTTCAATAACTGTAACCTTACAGAAATAGATCTCCAGGCCTTTCTTCTGAGGCAACTCTGGATGGGTTCAAACCTCTTACCTTTCAGTTAGCAGCTGAGTGTGTTAACTGTTTGCACCACCCAGGGACCGCACCCTCAGCCTAGAGGGCATCTTTTCTGGAGAGAGCATGAGCACCCTGCCAGGAGACACAGTGATGAGTAGATTGTAGAGCATCAACTCCAGAGTGTCCTCTGTGTGGTCAGCTTCACCACAGGACCTCTTCTGATTGTTCGTCAGGAGAGAGCAGTGCCCTTGGCCACTTGATCCCAGACCACCCGAAGGTGGGCTGGACTGTAAGGGCAGTGAGGGAGTTCTAACTTAAGGCAGGATAGGCAGGCTGCTTTCAGTTGAAATCCAGAAAGAAATCCCAGGTTTAGTGCTTTATTTTGGTATAAAAACCAAGTCGTGTGAGAATGGAAACTCTTTCCCTGTTGTCCTCTGCTTTCTGCCCCTGTTGACAGAAGACTGACTTGCTAATTCTGGCTGGGGTTTTTCCCTCCTGAGCTGTTTTCTCTTTTATCTTCATCAATTGAAGAGAGCTGCTCTGCCTTTCAAACTGTCGAAAGGTAGCTTGGGTTTTGTGTATTTTTTTTCTCTTCTTTCACATAATTCACATAATAGGTCTTTTCCCAGATATGTATTTTCTCTCAAGTTAACTTCTAACTTGTTTAAATTTCCGCCCATGTGACTTCCAGTGTGAGTTACCAAAAACCACAAGAGAGAGAGCGAGAGCAAGCCCAAAGCGAGCGACATGTCACTGTGGGGGGCAGTGCCTCTGCACCCCAGAGCAAGGAGGACACAGGGGTCGCAGGTGGCTGTTGGGCGGTCAGAGGAAAGACCTGTGGAGTTGGTGGGCTGGTGGCCCAGGGGGCAGTCGGGAAGGGAAGCCAGCTGGTGACAAGAAAGCCCAGAGGCGTCTGGGGCTGTGTGTTAGAGCCCGGAAGATTTCAGCCATGCCTCACAGCTCCGACAGCAGCGACTCCAGCTTCAGCCGCTCTCCTCCCCCTGGCAAACAGGTAGAGTCCCCCTTACCTTCTCTCTTACCTTCTGATTCTCCTGGGGGGCAGAAAGAGGAGAAGGCTTTCTTGTCCTGCCCAGGAACCTGAGGAGCGAGGAAGTGGCTCATGGCACCAGCTCTGTTAGACTTAAGACATGGTATTGGCAATTAAGCTGTGTATATTGGCAGAGACCCTCGTCCTTCTACCCATTGTACCAAAGCCTCTTGGTGCCCCATCGCCTCCACCCTACCATGGTTCCTACCCCATGAAGCTTTCTAGGAAGCCAAGAGGAGAAGGAGCACCGAAGAACTCTGGTCTCTCAGACAAAAGGGTCTAGCTTTTCCAAGGCAAAGTGAGAGGAGGAGCATTAAGCTGGGATGCTAGCACGTGCAACCCAAATCCTAGAGAGATTGTTCCCCAAGAGAGAGCCAATAGGGCAAGAGGGAAAAGAGGTCCACCAAAAGTTTTTTACAAAATTAAAAACAAGCTAAAGGGAGGGGGAAGCCAGGCTAGCACAGAAGGATCTGTGGGGTGCTACCCTGTTGCTAGCACAACCAGGGAAGAGGGATGCTGGGACTATGGCCAATACCTCTTCCCCTGTGGCTTCTGGACAAGAGAAAGGAAATAAATCAGAAGGTAGTTCTGGAGAATTGTTGGAGATATTCACTAGTAGTTCACTTCTGCCCTGGGGGAACCAGAGAGAGTGAGGTAGGGAATTCTAGGAGCATTTGTAGTGTAGATTGTGACTTGTCAGTCCTAAGTGTTCAGCTTGAAGGTTACTCAAAAATGGGGCACCCTGCCTGCCTCCCAGCTCCTGGAGCTTTCTCTTCATCACCCCTTGACATCCCTGCCTATAAGAAGGCCTCCTCTTTCTCATCCAAGACATCAGTGGCTTAAAATCTTCTCTGCTGCCTTTGCAGTTGTAAAACTGTATTCTCTCCTTAGGGCAGAAGGGCTTTCAAAATGCTGCAGCCAAAATAGGAGCATATAAACATACAATGTAGCCGCTATGATAAATATCTATCAGAAGAGCCACAGGTTGGGAGAAATCCTAGTGGGGACCTCTAGAGGGCATACAACCCGGTCTTCTGCTTAAGATGGTATCAGAGGGCGCAGGCTGCCTGGAAGTCTGTATTCTTCTTAGGAAGGAAATTACTCATGGCTTCCATGGTAACCTGGCTCCCTATGTCCCTCAGAGGAAGAGTGCCTCCTTCCTATGTAACCCCATGCCTTCCTACTGCAATGGCCTGTAGTATTGGACACACTGGTGAGATGCATGCTCTGTGAGCACAGGGTCTCACCCTGGGAACCATATACCCCTCTAGCTCATGGGGTTGTGGGAGGGAATGATGTGGGGGTGCAGAAGGGTTTCATTAAGACTCCTGCACTTCTTAGCAGCATCTGGGGGTAAGTTGGAGCTCACTACTCTCTCTGCCCAAGCAAAGGACAGGCCCATGTACAGGGTATACTTAGAGGAACACCCAAAGGCCTCCTTGTCCTCCCAAACACACAGCCACTACCTGCCACAGCCAGGAAGTCTCCACCATTGAAGTCACTCTATTTGGTATCTGGCACCTAGTTTGTGCTAGGTGTTGTGTTCAGGATAGTGGGAAATGTAAAGGTGACTGATGAAATGGAGGGCATGCAGAGAAAAAAGAAGCAGTTCTGGGATGGGGACCTCAGCCCAGAGATGCAGCAAAAGACTGCAAGGGTACTAACCAGTGATGCACCTTGTGCAGAGGACCACATGAGGTACTAACCAGTGAAGCAGCTCGTGCAGAAAACCACATGGAGTACTCACCAGTAAGGCAACTGGTGAGGGGGTGTGTCTTAGAAGGGTGCCTGACCTAGCATCAGAAGATGTAATTCTCAGATTATTGTGAGCACTTGGGCAAGCTCTTTGAGCCTCAGTTTCCTTGTATATAAAATTGGAATAATAATAATACCAATTTCACAGAAGTGGAGAATTAAACAAGAACCCCTACGAAAAAGCAGTTGCACAGAGGCTGGCACATAGTATGTGTGCAACAAAGGTTCTAAAAAAATCAAGAAGTCTCTGGGCCAGGCAATCAGAGCATAAGGGTAGAGCAGCCCCGAGGAGGAGAAGGAGGAGGAAGAGGAGGGAAGAGGTGATAAAATACATTTCATCACCTTAACCATTTTTGCCTAAATACAGCCCCATTGAGGGCTGGAGGTATCTTACCCTCTTCCTGTAGCTTTTGGCCAAAAAACTCACAGAGACCAGAGGGAGCGTGGCGTGGTGTGGGGAAGAGATCTCAGTTGGGTGCAGGCTTTTGGTAAATAGTGGGTGGATAGGTGAGTGAATGGGTGGATGAAGAGATGAAGAAAAGGATGGATGGAAGTGTAGGTGGGTGGATGAATGAATGGATGGATGGATGGATAGATGGAAGGATGGACGTCCAACACCATGAGATCCTGCTTTAACTCAGAAGAAAGGAGCAAGTTCATCCAATTCTCATCATCTGTGCTTCCTAGGACTCATCAGATGATGTGAGAAAAGTTCAGAGAAGGGAGAAAAATCGCATTGCTGCCCAGAAAAGCCGACAGAGGCAGACACAGAAAGCAGACACCCTGCACTTGGTGAGTGTCCAGACCTTCCTTCATCCTCTTGAGCCTTAGACTGTGCTCCCCACCATCCATGTGCCCCTGAACCATAGCCTTGATTCTGCCTGCATGTGAGCATGTGTATGTGGGGAGGGAACGTGGAGGGCGAGGGCTGTGGGAGGGAGGGGTAGTGAGGGGAGGCTCTCTTATGAGTGTATTGAGAAGATTCTGAAGCAGGGAATGGGCCAGAAGGCTGAACAGAGAGGAATGAGCCATTCTACCCAGCCCCCAAGAGAGCACGAGGACTAGCTAAGTTGATATGGGAAGTCCAGAGGCTGGGTATAAGGTAGAGCAAGCAGGGACAGCCAGAGAGGGCTCTATCCTCATGAGCTGCAGAAAGCAGAAAGCTGAAGGCAGAACTGTCTTGGGAGGAATTTAGAAGGCATTAAGTGCTCTGGGGGAGCCTGTTATCCTGCATTGCTAAGATCACACGTAGTCCCACCCTTGGGAGGACACTTGGGCAACCACCTTGGGCCCTGCCTTTGGGACAAGGAAATCCACAGAGTGCTGCATCTTGTTTCCTAGAGATCATTAAAATTTTCTTTTGCAATTTCTCTCTTTAATGATATCCCAAGGGGTCTATTTAAGATGCAGTTTCAAGGGCACTACTTATCTGGCATGGTCACCATCTTGGTTGAGTTGCCTCCAGTCTCAAACGTTCTAGAGACGTTCCTGTCCCTTGGCTTGCAAAGTGCTGAACTGCAATTCCACCAATGGCCCAAAGCACCAGTCAGTGTTTCTGAGTCGTGGCTGTGGGCTTCATTAAGCAATGCTTCCTCCTTGCCTCCAATATCTTGCCACCTTACTCCCTTCTCCTCAGTCTGGTTCCTCATTTGGTTCTTGTTCAAATGGCTTGTTCACTGCTCCCTTCCTCTTCTATCCCCTCAGCCCTTCCTTTAGCAACTCCACCTTCCTGTCCTTCCTCCCGGAACACTCCCATTAATACTTCTTCATTTCAATGGTAAAAAGGCAACTTTGCTATAAAAGTGCAATTTGTACCAAAAATGAATAGCTTGTACTTATTTGAAAGATTACGATGACCATCAGTGAGTGTTTTAACTTTATCAAGAATAAATAGATAAAGTTCTAGAAAAAAGATGTTATTCTCTGAAAATCCTAAACGTGAATTGAGCTTGGTAAGGAAACAGCAAGCTGCATCAACACCTCCGATGCACAGTTGTGTTTCATTTGAAATGTATTCAGCATGTGCCCCATTGCACACTAACATAGCTTTGAAGTTCATAAATATTCGTTGAGTTGAAAAAAACGAATGAGTGGACATGAAGTCTGTACCTCTCTCTTTTTTTTTTTTTCTAACTTTTCTATTTTTTTTATTGTACTTCAGGTGAAGGCTTACAGAACAAATAGTTTCTCATGAAACAGTAGTACACATATTGTTTTATGACATTG